GTGTGTGTGTGTGTGTGTGTGTGTGTGTGTACATGTAGTGCGTAGTGAAGTAAGCATGTACGTACGGTCTTAGTGTGTGTAAGTGTAACTGTTAGTGTGCATACGTGTAAAACTGTAAGCATACACTGTCAATGTCTGATAGGTGCCGTTTCTACTGCTGCAGATCCAGCGGGAAATATAATAGGTGTCGCGGCGTGGTGGAATTAGGCGTCTTTTTCAAATTTGGGGAAAGTTGTGTCTAAAACTACTAAAAGCCACTGCACTTAAAAGTCTTTCAGAATAATTATGTTTGTTTTCAACTCGCATGTTCTGACAACAAAGATCATAAAAGCATTCATAAACACGTTTGCTTTCTTCTGACCCGTGGCTCTTTCGCGTGTGTTCACTTATCGTGAGATGTCTGTGCTTTTCTTTCTTTTAAGAGAATAATTCGAATGTAATCGCCTCCGTTATTATTTCAATACGAAGGAAACTTTCTGCTTCTTTTGATTTCTTTGACAACTTTTCAAATTCATGCCATCGGGAAACTTTTCATCTCATGCTTTCGTTTCTCTATCTCTTTCATACCTGCAATTTTCTTTTCAAAACTGGTTTTGCCCGCTTCGCTTTTCGGCTTTTTTTTTTTTCAGCTGAGTGAGAAAATAAACGAATCGTCGTGTTACTTTAAAAAATAGGACACGTTACAGTAGGCCAGCCAGGTGTAAAGGATTTGGATGTAATAATTAGACAGTAATATATACGTTAAAGGTTTAAAGCAAAGTTTTTTTGGGTGGAAAACATGTAAAAATCTACGAAAGGTTCGTCATTCTCTTCAAAACAAAAATAGCTGGCATCCTATGTTATTCTGTCTGTATATTTGATGCTCGCTGTTGATTATTCTCTTACACCAAAAATGTGTATCCTCATTCTATCTCAAAGCTGAGCCGGTTTCACTTGCATACAACGAGTTTTATTTCTTCGCAAAGTTAGCCATTTCCAGAGTGTCCTCACAATCAATTGGATTTCATCTGTGTTCACCAAAATCTGTTTCATAAAGAGTTCTCGGTAAAAAATAAAGTACACATACATGCAAGACCATTCAAGATGTTATGATCAAAATAGACCTTCTCACTGAGCAGTATAACAAATTATCTATACTATCTATGCTGTTAACTGGGGCGATAACGTTTTAATGGCTGAAATAAAGAACGATAACACAATGCACAGGATCCCCCGGTCTTTTATGCCATTCTGAAAAGATATTATCTTTCAAGTGTTGAATCTTTGCAACATTCTTATAATATGTGTCTAGGTTTGAATGTAAGGTGTTCAAAAAGTGTGCTTTCACGTCGGGAAAAGGGCGGCTGCTTCTTGTTCATTTGTTTGTTTGTTCTTTTGTTTTGTGGTGGGAGGTTTGGTTCGTTTGTTGTTGTTTTGGCTTTGGTTTTGGTTTTGTTTGAGGGGTTTTTTTGGTGGGGGGGGGGGGGGGGGGG